TATATATATATATAACTCGCAATTGTGAGAAGAAAAGTTTGAACTGTACGATATGAAAAGTCTTAGCCTAATTAACTTTAAAATGTTTTGTTGCGAAATAAATATTGTGGGATATAAACTCAGAATTTTGAGGGAAAAAAGACTGAACTGTGAGATAAAAAAGTCGCAATTACCTTTTTTTAATTTCGTTAATTCCGTGACTTGTGAGTAACTCGTTCAAAAGGTACTCACTTCGCCACCTACTGGCATAGCTAACCAATCGATGAACGAATCTTTTGTGTGAATCGATTCAAAAGATTCGACTCACGATGAATCCAAATCCCTACTACTAAGGCCAGAGAAGTTGCAGCCTGCAAGGGTTAATTTTGGTAACTAACTTAGTCGTTGCCTATTTGGAGGCAAAGCGCGTGTTACAGTCAAGAGGAAGCTGTCAAGCTTCTGTTTGAAAGCAGAATCGGCTCTGCACCTCAGTGAAGTGAATGACAAGCGGACACGGGACAATAACGTCACTGCTCTGTTGCTCCTTTAACATTGCGTAACGCGCGCGATGCTGATATGCAAACAGCCAGCTGATATTTCATAGCTCACGGCGGCCTGATGGAGGGGACGACTGCGGATCTGAAAACATCTTAGCAGAGCAGCTCGGACACGGAAGGGATCAAACTATATCCGGACGATTTTCTCCAGTGGTCTGCTGTGCGTTGGTGAGGGAAAGATCATTTTATTTCGCGCTGCACGACTCCGCGCCGGTGGTTGTTTATTCAGCGCGTTTCGCTCGCTCAAAACAACCCGACTGTTTTTCTGCGGTTTGTTTACAGAAGAGCGAGGTTTTTTTGGCGCATAAAGGAGTAAACCGAGAGGATGGCAGGCCCTGATTCCCCGCAGCAGCAGGTTGAAGAGAAAGCCGAGCAGATCGATGACACCGAGCTGGCGTTTCAAGGCATCAATATGCTGCTCAATAATGGCTTCAGAGAAAGCGACGAGCTCTTCAGGAGATACCGGTAAAATCAACGTGCATCTATGATTTTAGAGTAGTAGTATAAAATGGGATTGTTTGTTTGCATAAACTGGAGCCACAAAATTTGACCTCGCTGCTTTTATTTCTATTCATTTTCTATAGGCTATGACCACTAAATGGGACATGCCTCAATACAATTTGAACTATAGGCCTATATAACGTTATATATAATATTCTCGTTTTTCTCGGATATAGTTAATATAAGTGTGTGTTGTCTTTAATTGCATAACATAAAGTCAAATATTCCTTTATTTACTGCTTATTTTCTGTTTCTGTTGCCATAATTTGGAATGTGTCAGTACATTAAAATAGTAACTTTAATATTTTATTATTTATTTGTGACCCTGGAGCACAAAACCAGTCATAAGGGTAAATTTTTTTAAATTGAGATTGCTTTCCATTGATGTATGGTTTGTTAGGATAGGACAATATTTGGCCGAAATACAACTATTTGAAAATCTGAGGGTGCAAAAAAATCTAAATATTGAGAAAATCGCCTTTAAAGTTGTCCAAATGAAGTTCTTAGCAATGCATGTTAGCCTACTAATCAAAAATTTAATTGATTTATTTACGATAAGAAATGTACAAATTATCTTAATGGAACATTATTTTTAATATCCTAATGATTTTTGGCGTAAAAGAAAAGTCGACAGTTTTGACCCACACAATGTATTGTTGGCTATTGCTACAAATATCCAGTGCTACTTATGACTGGCTTTGTGGTCCAGGGTCACATTTATTTATTTATTTGTAATGAAAAGCATCAGAATGGGTAACTGTTTTAGCTCAAATTAGGATTACTTGAGTGCTAGCTATTTTGGGACAAAATGTTGGTTTGCAGATGGACTAACATATAACTAAGTGTTTGATCATTTTTTCTGACAATAACTAAGGTAAGAGGGTTGAATGCATGTGACTGTTAAATGCTTGTTGAATTAATCAATTAAACAGTAAATACCAGGCTTATTAGTTAAGTAAAAGCAAAAAAAATGTTTCTTAAAATAAATATTAGCTGAAATAAAGTATAAGAAAAATTATATAAATATATTAAAAAACAACTAAATTGCTAAAACTTTAACTAAAATTAAAATGAAAATGGGAAAATATAAAAAAAATGCACAAACACAAAATATTAATAAAAACTATAATGGTTACTGAATGATACTAAAATAAGACTGGTAAATATATAAAATAGCTTCAGTTGAACATCAGTTCAGTATATTGTCAATAGATGTATGATTTACATTTTTGGATGTACTCAAGAAGGTGGAGGAACGAGGTTGGATACTGATTTTCTATGTTTTAAAATCATGTTACATTAATTGTATGTTGCAAAATAGTTTATCAAACATTTAATTGGTCTCGCAGAGGAAATAATGGGAATTGTACCTTGAATGCTTTACAGAATAAGGACGATTCAGCCAGACCTTCTCGTGAGATCATAGACAACAAATAAGTATAATGATGGGTGCAAAGATGAATGGCTGTTTGCCTGGTCATGGGTGCAAACTGTGCACAATAATCTTCATATAAACAAATGGAGATTATATTGTGCATTATATGGGATTAGAGAGATAAAAGTAAAATCCAGTGGAAAGTCTTTTTTTTTTATATATATATATATATAATTTTGACTTGAGTTACAGATGACTAGTAGTAATTAAAATAACATAATTTCTCTTTTAAAACACATATGTTGCATTAAACTGAAGAAACATGTTACAAATTCATACGCGAAGCCTGAGGATTTATATATCAGAAGAACTAACTTGTGTCATAGTGCCATATCCCATGATTCCCTATTCTGTCCGCAGGACCCACAGTCCACTGATGAGCTTCGGTGCCAGTTTTGTCAGTTTCTTGGTAAGTGAACTCAGTTAAATGGTTTTTAGTTCGTACTTCCAGTACGTTTGACACAGGAACAGCTTCCTGGAGAACTTAAAGTGTCTCTACAGTTCATAAAACTCCTTTTAGGGTTTGAACTTACGTCTGTACTTGCCACTAGCCACCAAGCTAATTTTACCGCTACCCCTTAGAACTTTATTTATTGGGGCAAGTAAACTGTTGTTTAACAGAGATTGCTGGGAAAAACAACACTAATGGCTGTAGTGGTAGCATCAGCTGGGCAGCCCAAGGTGGTTTTCTTGTGTAATTAGTTTGACATCAGCCCATCATTTCTAGTCCATCTCTGTTATCTCTGTTATGTGACGCAGTCAGCAAATGCTCTCATTCGCACTTCAGCCGCAGTGCTGTTTCCTGCAGCGCTGCTCTCATTTCATCCTGACCATTAATACGAGTGAGACGACAGGAAGTGAAATATTGGCAAGAAAGAGACGGAATAGAGATGTTTATAATAGCAAATCATTTTCAATATTTTTGTAAGATATTTTTCTTTCAAGTGATTTTGTTTTATTTTGATTTTATATTTATTTTGTATTTTATTTTATTTTATAGGAGAATAGCAAGTGTATTTTACAGAATAGCCATTTTAAAAATGTTTTTCTAAATTTTTATAGAATATTTTGTTAATAATATTAAAGTTTTATTTATTTATTTATTTTTCATTTAATAGAAGAATAGCACATATTTTTGATTTTATTCTACATTTTTATTATATTTAATAGAATATTTATTTCCCTAAAGTGAAATTTTATTTTATGGTTATTTTATTTTATATGACAAAATAAAATATTTTATATTATAAATAAATAAACAAATAAAAAAGTATAAATAAAATAAATAACAAAAAATACAATTTAACTTCTGGAAAAATATTCTATAAAAATGTAAAAAAAAAATTTACAAAATGGCTATTCTCCTATAAAATACAATTTCACAACTTGAAAAAAATCTTGTAAAAATGTAGAATAAAAGAAAAAACACCTGCTATTCTCCTATAAAATAAAATAAACAATAAAATAAAATTTCACTTCAGGGATAAATTATCATTTAAAAAAGCAGAATACATTTAAAAAAATTTTTATTTTTTTTTATTTATTTTTTTTACAAAATGTATTATACATGTAATTTGATACATGATACATTTTTAAAGTATACTTTTTCCCTGAAGTAAAATTGCTTATTTTATTTTCTAGGAGAGATTTTTAACAGCGTTAAGCCAAAACAGTTTTGGAGTTTTTAGCAAAAATAAATGATAAAAACATGATATAATTCAGCCATAATATTTCTCGCCATGAAAATAGCCACAGAAGCTGGACTGGCGTTAAACACAAACATTAGAATTATAGGAGAATTTTAAATTATTCTTTTTTTATAGGATTTTATTTGCCTGAAAGAAAGTTTAATTTTATTTGTATTCATTTTTTTTTTTTTTTTCATTTTAAATTTCCTTAT